CACAGAGCCCCCTGAATCTGCACCTTTCACTGGCAGGTGGACACAGAGCCCCCTGAATCTGTACCTTTCACTGGCAGGTGGACACAGAGCCCCCTGAACCTGCACCTTTCACTGGCAAGGTGGACACAGAGACCCCTGAATCTGCACCTTTCACTGGCAGGTGGACACAGAGCCCCCTGAATCCATACCTTTCACTGGCAGGTGGACGCAGAGCCCCTTGAATCTGCACCTTTCACTGGCAGGTGGACACAGAGCCCCCTGAATCCATACCTTTCACTGGCAAGTGGACACAGAGCCCCCTGAATCTGTACCTTTCACTGGCAAGTGGACACAGAGCCCCCTGAATCTGCACCTTTCACTGGCAGGGAAGGGTAGAGGACTACCAGGCTCCTGCGGCCAGGAGGTGGTGTCGACCATCACCTCCTACCTTGTTTGGTGATTTTTTCATAATTCAGAGCCGGTGCGGGTGCCCTAGTGAGTCACTGGAGAAGAACTGTTTGATTTCTGCTTTAGACACTTATGAAAGAAACACACACTTTTGAATTCTGCCATTTATCTTCCTCCTGCCAGTTACCTTGATTCTCTTTCCCCTTCATCAAATACAGAATCACCCCACTGGAAAACACATTTCTCTTTTTAGTTTTTACAAATCTGCCCCAATTTACATACTGGAAAAAAAAAAGTGAAACTCTCAGATATAAATGACTGCAAAGGTCTCAGTGGAACTCAGGCATAATTCTCAAATGTAGGTAACTCTTAAAGAGATTTTAGAAACAGGACCATGTAAAAGGCCATAGATAATTTATTAAAAATTGAAAGCAAGAAAAAAAAAGTTACATTTAGCTTAAATTGATGTCAGTAAAACCATTGGTGGGCTATAAATAATACATTTCTATTTTATCTCCTTGAAAACAATCACAGAAGTGTCCAAACAGGAGTGCCAGGGCCCCCTACCTGACCAGCCGCCTGGGCCACACGCTGTTGAATCTCTCAGCCTTCAACCTGGAGGAGTACCTGCTGGAGCCCTCTGAAAAACCAAGGTGTGTTGAGGACTGTCCCTGTGTCTTTTCTGTTATCCTCCAAGAACTTGATAAAACCTATTGTTTCAAATGCTAATGTTCTAAAAACTCAGAAGTCTAATACCAACCTTGGTGCTCATAAAAATTCCAAGCAGTGGCTGCCAGCCTTTTAATAAGATTCCCTGCTGCTGACTTGCGCTCTCGTGAGCACTGGAGGGAATCATATCAACTGTGACTCCTCGGGCGGGAGCAGGAGGGCCGGAAGTGGTTTTACTGCTTTGGATAATGAGAGCGGGTAAGTTCACAGCGTAGTGAAATGAAAGCCTCCTTTTAGAATTCCAACATAAGAACCTGGGTACAAACTTAGTATCTTAAAATTCCTCTTGAGCAATTTTTGGGAAAGCTTTTGTTTTGTGCTGGATTTCCAGGAGGCCGCGGTAGAGATTTGGATGAGAGAGTTAGACAAAAGTACCTCTCCTTGCTTTAAAATCTTGATAACATTTGCCCACATCATCAAATTCCCTGAGTCCCCCAAATGCATTGCAGTTGGTTCACATAGGGAGGCCTCTTCTGGGCTGCCTGTGTCCCCGGGACACGTCCTTGTCCTTTTCTGTCCCTTCTTGATCCTTGCTGTGCTGGTGTGTCTTCGTCTTCCCCAGGCACTGCCACCCGCCCCAGTCTGGTTTGCCTGCTTTTTTTGCTGCCCCACCTCTTACATCCTTTAAACAGGTCCTAGAGTCTCAGATTTTCTTTTCTCACATTGATAGCTCACTTTTGGAAGGTGAGAGCTTGTGTGCCAAGAACTTGGGGTACTATCTGGCCCATTAAAAACGCTCAATCAACATCTGTTGAATGAATGTATATAAATGTATATACTCAACTGAGCCAGGTGGGAATGTTACTTATTCCTTGACCTGAATTTTTGTGGTGAGTAGGGACACTGTGTTAGTAGACTGTTTGTTCTTCACTCTCCGTGGATCCAGATAGTTGGAAACCAAGTTTAATATGTGCCTTTATTTCTAATGTTAACTTGTTTTTGGAAGCTTAATAGATATAAGATACTACACAACCCATTGAGATACAGAGATAAAAATTATAATTCCCACCAAGGAAAAAACTCACAGAGCTGCATAAAAAGTTAAACCAGCAAACAGACAATTAAAAGGAAGTGTGGTGATTGGTACAGTAGCTGGAAGTATAGGATGTTGTAAGAACTCAGAAGGAGAAGCTAAACGAACCGAAGTTCTCTGGCTCGGCTTTCTAAACCAGGCAAGACCTGAGGGGGAATGAAAAAAAGACAAACAAAGTGGGGAAGGCAAACGTGAGTGGCTTGAAAGATCATGACAGACGATGTAATTGTGACTAGCACATTTGTAGGGGGAAATGACAATTAATTAGAATAATTAGAGTGCTGACGATCATAGCCATATCCATCACGTGCCATGTATTTCGGAACCAGATGGTAAATTCTGACAAGTACACCTTGTAATGTGGCCAGCCTTATCCAGACCTTCTCTGAAAACAGCGCCAGTCCTTGTGTGCCTGACCTAGGGGTCAGGCCACTCTTGCCAGCACTGTGCTCAGCTTATGTGGTCATGCACAGGCCGCAGGTGTCATATGGCTACTGTCCTAAGATCACTGTGACTAGTGTAATTGGTAATGCAACACCTTCTGGTTAGAAGTCCTGGCATTCCCTGGTTGAAAGAGTAACATACTATTTGTTGTGAATAGGCTTGGAGGTTGGTCTTTTGGAGTGCGAACCCCCAGGGAAGCTGGAAACATGAATGCAAACTTATCAAATCCCAAACTTCTGACAAAGGTAATAGAGTTCTTTTTTTGTTTGTTTGTTCGTTTTTTGTTTTAACTTGCTGTCTTAGAAATTATTTAGGGGAATTTGATATGCAAATATATTCATGAGCCCGGAGCAGGGGTGGCAGATCAAATTCTAACATTTGTTACTGAGGATTAAGAATAGTTGTATGAAAACATTCCCTTGAAAGAGAAAATGACATGTTTTTTGTTAGACTGTGTAGAAATAGAGCAAATAGGTTACTGCTTTTTGTTAAGATAAGACTTCGCCTGATAGATTAAGTACATTTTGAAAGCTATCCATAGTCTCCATAACTAGTCTCATCACTAGCTTCCCAGGTGGCCAAAGAGATCTTCCGAATGTGCACCCACATGCCTTATCTTCCAGAAGGCTGGATAGCCGCAGAGCTGACGCAAAGAAACACAAGGCTATTCTTAGGGTGCCTGGATTTTTAAGCCCTGCCAGGCCTATCCCCACAAATTTAGAATGGGCCCTAGAATTATAGAGCCAGGGAGAAGGGGTCTCCAGATGGAGGAATGAGGACTGGGATGGAGGAAGGATGTCTTGACCCGCCACTGGGAGTGCAGGAGAGCCAGTGAGCAGCAGAAGGTTTCCAAGGGAAGAAAAATTTCTGAACAAACTGAACATGGCAAAAGATGAAAGATTTAGAGCCTTCAGTCTCCAAGACTGGGGACATAGGATGGTGTTTGAGTAAGAGACAAATTGGAAAAGAGTAGATTGTGGGAGGAAGGCAAGTCCACCCTGGGAGAGTGCGTGTGAGTTCACGTCAGGACATGAGTGTGAACATGGCCACAAGCCATTTCTTTCTGTAGAGCAGGATGTTGTGTCTACTTATAAGAATGACCGCTGGAACAGGGACTGTCGCCCTGCACCCCTCTACTCTGTAGTGGGGACTTTCATGGTTCATATAAACTTGCGAAGCTTGTAGGGATAAGGATATGTGTATGCTGGAGTTTTTTTCAGTAGAGCAAGAGGTGCTTCCCAACATAAGCCCTGACAAAAATTTTAAGTTCTAGTATGAACTGTTTAGAAATCTCTTCTTTAGCTGAAATTTGTTCAAATCTCTCTTCCTTTAAGGGCAACACACATGAAATTTCTGGCTTGATATGACAATATCATCATTCATAGCTCTATAGAAAAATGACTTAAAATACACAAGTGTTTTCTGGCATATATCAGAACGTATTATGTCACCGTTGTAAAAATGTACCTAATTGGTAGAAGGAATCTGTTCATTTCCTCTAAGAAAATTTTGACCATACGAATCCAAGCCCTTCCCATTTCTGATATATGTCTGTGTCTTTGCTTTGAGATATCCAGGGAGCTGAGCTTGTTCAGAGTTGAAGGGCCAGTGATTCACCGATGAGGGGCCAGTGATTCACCGATGAGGGGCCAGTGATTCACCGATGAGGGGCCAGTGATTCACCGATGAGGGGCCAGTGATTCACATGTTCCCCAACATCTGTTTCTTTTTTTATTTCCTTTTTTTGTTTAGAGACATAATCTCACTCTATCACCCTCAGTAGAGCACTGTGGCATCACAGCTCACAGCAACCTCCAACTCCTGGGCTTAGGCGATTCTCTCGCCTCAGCCTCCCAAGTAGCTGGGACTACAGGCATCAGCCACAATGCCCAGCTATTTTTTTGTTGCAGTTTGGCTGGGGCAGGATTTGAACCTGCCACCCTCGGTATATGGGGCCAGCGCTCTACCCGCTGAACCACAGGCGCTGCCCATCTGCTTCTTTTTATCTTTGTTTAGATTAGTGTTCTGTGCTGACATGTTTGAGAGGTAATTTCTGGAGTTCTTAATGATTGCCATGTTCCTGGCCAGGCATGGGTGTGCAAGTGCACTGCCTCTTGCCTTTTGGAGACTGAGCTTCATTCCGGGAGGCCAAGGAATCCAACATTGCCAGTGTAAAGGGCAATCTGTTATCTGAACACCTGCTAGAGACTGCCAAGGGGCTGATGTCATGTCAAATGGTTCCATTTACCTCTCAGTAATTAATAGCCAGCCTTTTCCTTAAGCCTTTAGGCTACATTTGTAAGATATAGATGGTATGATTTTCATAGTCCTTTTGAAGGGAAAAGAGAAAATTTGCATACAAACAGCCTTAATGTATGGTGCATTATACTGTGGAATGTCTCTCTTGGAACCTTTGTGGGATACATCACTCACATCTTGAGTGCGTAGCTTATTTAATGAGAAATAGCACGTATACCCTTCAGGTAAAAAGAACAAACATATTACCCTTCTTGTTTACTTGCAGAAATTTCTGTTCTCCCAGGGAATTTTATATATTTGAATATCCAGAGGCATTTTTTTTTCTTGGAGCTACTTAGTTACTTTTCTGAGGAGCTATTACTCATGGTTCCTGTGAGAAAAGGTCTGTTTGAGGTGTCATGATACGTTCTTAAAAGGAGATTAACTTCCTATTTCACTTATTGGACTTTATTGCTCTCTGACTTGTGGCTGACAGGGAAGGAAATCCCACACCTTATTTCCAGAATTTGGTCCAGTTTTATAAAACTGTTCTTGGGAGGGAAAAAAAAAAGGAAAAAGAAAGAAAAGCCTTTCCTTTGAACTCTACTGAATGCTAATTTTAAGATCACGGTAAAGTATGCTTTGCTTACTTAACGAGTTCATAAAATCTCTCTGAAGGAAAGACCAATTTACAGATGACCTGAAAGGAAGTTCAAAAACATTTTCAACTTTGTTCCATAGAACTCTATGAATCAATCATTTATTGTGGAAACAATATGGCATAGCAGACAACTGCAAACCCACAGTGGCACCAACAATAAGGGCATTTAGCTCAGGGTTGGTGGGCGGGGCTGCCGTGGGCTGTCTGAGCACCTGCTGCTGTGTGGACCACTGCTTAGTACAGCCCCGTCTGTCTTCCGGGAATGTCCCCCAGCCCATCGTCTGCAACGGCCCTCTACTCTCTGCCAAATGCTTCCTCTTTCCTCACCCTCATGGCTTTCTGTGACTAAAATATCTGGAAACACATCTTTTGAGCAGTGCTGCAGGCTGGTTGCTGCCTGCGGAAAGCTGGGCTCCCACAGCCGGTTTGTGTTCTGCATGGATCCAGTCTTTTTGCTACAGCTCCCTGTGAAGCCCCAGCTTTTCCCTTTACCTCACTGAGGACCACGAGCCATTCTCACGATTCTTGTGGAGACACACATCCTCTCTAAAATTAATTGCTGGTATTTGGGGACTTCAAATTTAGGGGCTGTGGAACAACAGCCGTTAGGATTCCTAGAAGCCCTTGTGTCCCTCTGAGAGGGCTCCTCAGCCCTGTTCCCAGTGTTCTGAAGACAGTTCTGGCAGCTGCACTCCTGACTGTATCTTCGTTCTGAGGCCACACCCTTCAGCATGTTGCCTAGAGAACTTCATACTCCTGTGAAGATGTTACCTGGACACAATTTCTGTCTTTAAAGTCAGCACAGGTGACGACTTTTTGCCCAAATGTCTTGACACTGCGTGTAATATGCATCAACATTTTTTGAGTGATCCATAGTGATTTTCTTGCCATCCTCCCCACCACATTTCTACATGTTTTCTCATGTATTTCCAGCTTGTCTGTTTGCACCCCGTGTGTTGGTCTTAACACCAGTGTCACATGTTTTCCTTTTTTGGTTCAGTAACACCCTATTCCACTGCCCATTACTGTGTGAATTATCTCTTGCCACAATGATGCTTTGTAATAACAGTCACAAACCTCAGTGACTTCAACAAAGGATGTTCATTTAGCTCATGGGTCTGCAGGATTCTGCTACTAAAGGCTTAGCCTGATCTTGGCCAGGAATTATTGTACGTGTGGCTGGCTGTTGGCCTCAGCTGAGGGCTCAGCTTTGCTCCTGTGGTATCCTCCGGCAGGTTGGCCTCACTATGATCCTATGGTGATAGCAGAGACACCAGAGGGAGTGCAGGAATATACCTGTGCTTCTCAAACCTCTGCTGTGTGTCGTATCCTAGGCCCAAAGCAAGTCACGTGGTCAAGCATAGTGTCAGAATAGGAGGGTGTGAAAATTGCCCGACAAAGCCTGTGGGTGCAGGATTGTGCAGAACCAGGACCTAATTAACCCAAGAACAGAAGCCTCAGTGCTCTCAGAGGGCGAGGTGAGGGCAGCTGCACAGGCAGGCTCCTGTCTCCCCAGTGCCGCTCCACCAAAGCTGCTCTGCTCTCTATATTGTTTTCAGCGTCATTTCTAAGATGGAAAATACCACTCTGCTTTTAAAACAAAAAATAAAGACAAATATATGAAACAAAACAAAATTTGAAAACCCTATTCCAGAGGCAAAGTCTACCTTTGTCTCTCATATATTTTACCTCTAGTTAAACAGTTAAAGGAGCAGGTAGTGCCTGTAGCTCAGTGAGTAGGGTGCCGGACCCATGTACTGAGGGTGCTAGTTCGAACCTGGCCCCAGCCAAACTGCAACAAAAAAATAACTGGGGGTTGTGGCAGGTGCCTGTAGTCCCAGCTACTTGGTAGGCTGAGGCAAGAGAATCCCATAGGCCCAAGAGCCAGAGGTTGCTGTGAGCTGTGTGATGCCACAGCACTCTACCGAGGGTGACAAAGTGAGAGTCTATTTTTAAAAAACAAACAAAAAACAAACAAAACAGTTAAGGGAGGACTTGAAGGACACAGAGGTCACAGGGTTAGTAGGAGGGTCCAGTTTCCATAGGGTTTTCTACTATATTAGCCTGACCTTGAATTAACAGAATCCTAAGTTTCCACCATTTCCAGGAATAGGGCTGGTGCCTGTGAAGGGCTGTGTGTGTATGTGTGTGTGTGTGTGTTTGTGCACGCGTGCGACAGGAAGACCAGGGCAAGACCCCAGAAGGTGACAGTATGAAGCTCTGTGGGACAGAATCTTGTGCTGGGTGGAAGAGGTGAATGTACCTCTGACTTGTGACATAAGCTCCTTTAGTTTGGTGCTGAATGGAAATCAGGCTTTACCCTACTTTAAAGAATTGTGTATCTAAGTCTCTCTAGATTTTTTTTCTTTTTCTTGTCTCTTTTTTTGGTCACATAATCCTACTCTGTTGAGGCACAGCCTTGGATACTCACAGAATATCCCAAGTTCTTTGGTTAGTGACCTTAAGCTGCTCTTTTTCCCCTTAGAGTATAAAATATATTTGGCAAGGAATTCTCCGTGAACTTAAGAAAACATTATTTGAAAAAGAGCATTAGCGGTGTGAAAGATGGGGTCTGCTCTCTGAGTTGCCTAATGAAGCGAGCTCTCTTAATGAATTGGGGGGCATTAGCTAATGTAGCAGGGTTTTGCTTTTGCTTTTTAAATGCACGAGCAATATTTTGTTTCTTAGCTATTCCCATGAACACAATAGCTGCCACAGGGGATTCTGGTTAGAAAAATAACTCATTGTAGAATGATGGAATAGAAAGAAAATGAGTTGGATGTCCTTAAGTTGGAAGGGCTTGAGATTGGCTCCAAACTTTGCTTCACACATCTGGGAGACCCTGAGTGGGTTCCTTAAAGAGGTGTTAATCTTCTGTGAGGCCACCCTAATGCTATAAAGTGGATGGTCTTGTCGCAAAAGGCAGCCTTGTCTACAGAAACAAGCTGCTCAGTCAACTGAATTATGAGCAGAATGCACCAGTTTGATTCATTACACTTCTCGAAGACACCAGCTTTCCAAACTGAACATGTATTTTTCATTAAAATATTGATATTTTGAAATAGAGATACTGATGATCACCTTAGTATTTTGAATGCTAGATTTTATCTTGACTTTAACGTCACCTCACTTTCTCCTTCCCCTTTCTGCTGCTCACATGCTACTTTATGCTCAGCAAGTGTTTGGTTCCATTTATTTTGAGAAATAATGTTCCATGTTCAGGTATTAATTTGAAAGTAATCATTTTTTTCTGATCATTTTCCACACTTTTAATTTGCAGGTCAAATTTCATTAGCTTACCAGCTGAGAACAAAAAAATAATGATGGGGTTCGGTTCTTTTTTCCCTGTAAGAATATAATTATAGAGCAAGATTCACATTTGTTCTGGGGAAAATTAATCTATTTTTAGCTGTAAATTATATGCTTGAGATAAATATAAGATTACCAGACTGGAATTGACTGCTCACTGTCAGCGTGCAGGAGGAGCATTACTTTGAGTCCCGCACTCAGGTGCCACGGAAGCTAATTGACACGTGTTCCCCGGGTACTGGAAAAGCTGATGAGCAGACTGAAGAACTAATTTCATGAGCGCCACTAAATTATCTTTCTTTTTTAGGTGTGGTATAACCAGAAGGGTTTTCATGCCCTACCTTCTTACTTAAATCATCTAAACAACCTTATTTTATGGCGGCACTTACCTCCTGCTGTGGACTGGAGAAAATACGGTAATGCCATTTTTTATGTATTATATAAATTGACTAATTTCAAAATGCAGTGTTTGTAAAAGTGAGAGAAGCAGAAAACGTTCTGAATAGGAATGTGAGGGGCAATGGTGAGATGTCTACTTGACAGCCAGTCCGTCCATTAGCAGAATGCTGAGTTCCAGGCTCTCTCTCTCTCTTTTTCATTAAATGTATCTGCCTTCTTGAAACTGTGTCCTCATCTGTGAGATGAGGGGAACAAAAGGTGACTTGAGCATTCTATCTTAAAATTATTTTTATTCTTGGACTTGAATATCTCATGGAACCAAGAACAATTTTACATTTTAGAGCACTATCTGTGGAATACTGTAATAGAGAAGACAGACTAGACTGCCCTCTGCTTGACCATTGAGAGGGTCAACACAATACTGTGTTTATGCCGGGCCTCAGCTCACAAATTATCTGTGTTGATCACTGATTCATTATCTATGATTCATTTTGTAAATGGCACAGGTCAGTTCTGAAATCCAGAGTGAATTTATTGGCTTATGGGAATGTTTATTTATTTCACTTGGGTGGGATAAATTATAATTTATTGAACTAATTCAGATTCTTGAAGAAAAAGCAAATAAAGAAATAAGAAGTAATAACAGGCTATATCCGTCATAATATATTTACAAAACATATTTGTTGAAGTATTAATCCACATAGAAATCAATGCTAAACAGTTTCTCTAATATGCTATTACTTTATCCTAACCTTACTCTATTTTTATGTATTTATTTTGCCCTATCTATAAAGTTTTTAATAAGTAAATGGTGTCACAGATCACAGCAAGCTCAATGTCTTGGGCTCACATGATCCTCTTGCCTCAGCCTCCTGAGTAGCTAGTATGTCAGGCCTCGACCACAAAGCCAAGATAGTTTTTCTACTTTTTCAGTAGAGATGGGCCTTACTCTTCTTGCTAAGGCTGTTATTGAACTCCTGAGCTCAAGCAATCTACTCACCTCAGCCTCCCAGAGTGCTAGGATTATAGGTGTGAGCCACTACAACCAGCCAAAATTTAATTATTTTGTGTCACTGTAACTATTTTGGATGATAACAGGTAATATAAAAGATTTTAAATGTGCATGACCAAGAGAAATATTAAAAACATATGAAGCCTTGCAGAGAAAGGACAGCAGAATAACATTTATTCAGTGTCTGAAACATACAGATGTACCAGGGATTCCAATAGATAATTAACATTCATGGTCTCATTTAATTTCCATATTGCTTTTGTACGATGGACAATATTTGCCTACTCTACTGATTAAAAAACCAATGTTCAGAAATCTTGCCTATTAGCTGTGGCTATAAGAATGTTGGGTAATGGGGCAATGAGTGAATGTAGTTCTAGCTGGTAGTAAGCCTTTGCTTTTCTATGGCATTAAACTGAGAGGTCATTCTGAAACATGAATATGGCATGTTTCAGGGGAGTGGGAAGAGGGGTCATTAATATTGGATCTTGAACAATAGGCAGAAGCTTGACTGAGGTCAAGAAGCCAGTCTAGGTCTTAGCCATGCAGAAGCAAGCATAGTGTAACTATAAGAAACAGGGAGGAATCTAGGTTGACCTCGTCATAAAGGTGAGTGTGGAGGGATAATTGGGGATCACTCTTAGATATTTAAAGTCAAGTTCTGCTTAACCTCAACTGACAGAATGAGGAATATGGACTTTAATAAGAAATAGACAGCCTTTACCAATATTTGAGAATAAGAATGACATGCTCTCAGTAATACTTTAGAGAGAATACTATAGATGCTATGTATTAACTTGAGAAGGCTAATTATAATCAAGTGAGTTGCTGGAATGATGATGTTCATAATTTATGGGTCAAGGTCAGGGTGAATTTGGAGGAAAAGAATGATAAAGTTCAGACAAATAAGAGAAAAGGTTGAGTTATTGGTGCCGAGGGTAGGAATGATTTTAAGAATCTAAAGTATGAATCTGAGCATTTTTAGAATGAATTACTGTTCAGTATTGATAACATTATAAGAAATAAAGCAAGAAGAGATATTTTTAAGGAAAGAGCATGGTGATTTGTACAAGATCAGAGATGCTGGTTTGATTTACACATTTAGATTAAAATTTCCAATAGGATTCAGAAAACCAGACAGAAAAGTTCAATAGAGCAGTCATAAGTAAAATTAGTCCTAACTTTATTGAAAAAAGGTAGGTATTTGTGGCCAGTAAGTAAGATCTGGCCTGGGTCAGATGCTGATGCAGAAGAGAAGAGTGATGCAAACAGAATGGAGGGAAGAAGGCGCAGATGCTGCAGCCCCCGAGGTATGAATGCTTAGGCACAAAATCCATGGAAAGGCAGGAAAAATTATAAAATATTACAGAGTCATCAGGAATAATGAGAATGCAAAAATGTGGCTTGTGACCTCCAGAGGGTTATTTCAGTGCAATTCCAGATGGAAAATCACAATAGATAGAATGAGGCAAAGAAAGATCATATTAAGGATTTAGGAGACTAAATCCTTCCATAAACTCCGTTTTATGGAAGTCTGGCTGTGAAGAGGAGTGGGAAGAATTCTGTGTGTGTGTGCAAGTATGTGTGTGTACACATGTGCATGTATGTGAAAAAAGGAATAATAGAAGGTTTAGTAGGCTGATGATGTAGATTTTGAACATACAAGAAAGAAAAGAAAACTTATGGATTAGGAGAAAAAAAAAAAAAAAACCTGAATGGAAATCTGGAAGAAGTAGCCATGTTTCTATGTGATAGAACAGGAGTAAAAATGAAGCTATAGAGGAGACTTGGGAAATATGGTGAATGTTGTGGAACTTTATGCCAGCCTGCTTTGATCTCTACAAAAAGAATGTAAGACTAATGGGACAGTGATGAGCATGGATGATTAAAGAGAGACAGAAAATTTGCATATATTTGATGTGGAGAATATATCTATTAGAGAGATAGAGAGAGCAAACATATGAAGTCATGACTGAAGGTCAAACAGAGACACATTTGAAGACACTATACTTTTCTGGTGGATGTGACTGGCAAGCAGTCAATACAAAGCCATGATTTTTTTTCCTAGTGGTTTGGAATTGACACAAATGAGAATGATGATGTTTGCTGGAATAAAAACAGAAAAAAACTGCGATGTCTTAGCATAGGCCCTGAAGTGGAGAGGGAAGCAGATACAATCAGCATGGTCTGTGGTTGGGCACAGATGTCTCAAAGTGAGTGATAAATGGGATCTGCAGCCCTGATGAAGGAGGAGAGAGGAGAAGATGAAGACTTGGCCAAAGGAATGAGGTCAGAGTTTGAGATCCCTGAAATACAAATGTGCTGCCCAGTGACTGGAAGGAGCTGAGGGCAAAGGGTGCTTAGATAAAGGGTCTCAGGAAACACTGGAGATGATCTCAATAGGAAATGGAGATACAGAGAATGGAGGCTGTTCGAGCATTTGTTTAGAAGAATAGAGATTGATTTGTGGCACTTCTAGCCATTTTCCCACTCAGTACACCTGATCAATGGTGTTTACAAGGTGGCCACTTATGTGGGAATACAGAGAGTTCAATGAACCCCCAACTGTAGAATTGAAGGAAAATCAAACAACATCTCAGATTTATTCAGAGGAGCTAAGCAGGTTTGATAAAACTGTAGAAAGAAAAAAAAAAAAGAAACACAAATCAGTTTTTAAAAAGTGTTTTATAAGGAAAAAGAAATCTATGAGTAACAAAATATTGTATAAGTTGAGCTTTCTTTTAAAAATTAGGCTTTCTTCTTTTATACATTCTCTCTTCAAATCATAGTAGAAGGCAAATAAGCATAAGTAAATCTTATAAAATATGTAGGATGGAGAGATTTGAAATAATAATTAACATGAACTACAATGGTAGAAAGTAGTTTGAGGATTTTATTAGAAGATCGTTTGCATTCTTTAATGGATACATTCATTAAGAGGATGAGTTTTCATCTGCTTTCCATGGACACACGTCATGCTTTCCACTTCTTCTCAATTATGGCTTTCTTGGTTTTGCTTCCATTAGTCTTCCAGGAATTCAGACTCTTTCTGCTAGTTCTTAGCAGTTTCTCATTATGGCGTGCAGAGTCTTTTGCTACCCACCCTCATCCCATTCACTTTGCATGGCAGTGAGTGTAGTGACAAATTCCCTTCTGCTGTGTCTTGCCAATAGGATGTGCAGTGGAGGGAGCAAAGTAGCCTCCATCAGCTAAGTCTCCTTTAGAGGAACAGGTAGAAATGCCATTTCGGAATGATTTAAACTCTTAGAGCTTTTCATACATTAGAATTAACATCCACAGAGATGAAAACCTATATTATAAATAGAGAAAGTAAGGCTCAGACATCAGTAAGATGGCAAAGTAGGAAGCTTCAGGCTCTTGTTCTCCCATGAAAACATTAAGTAAGCAGCTAGACACTGTCTAAAATAACTTTTCAGGAGTGCTTGATATCAAAGATCTACAGTAACCAAATCAACAACCCAACAAGAAAAAGTAGAAGTTTTGTGGCATTTTTACTTCTCTTGTCTCCCCCTCTCCCCCCTCCTCAGGGTAGCCTGATGCGATTTGGGGAAGGTGGTGGCTCAATCACCAGTTTCCTTCTGTGAAGTGGAGATAACAGAACACACTGCATTATAATCTGTGCAAACTTGTCTGTGGGCTGCCTGAGAATTTGGTCTATGTCAGTGTTGGGGTTTATATGGCCAAGAGATGCTCGGATCTTAGTCTAGAGGATGCCACAGAAAGCAGTGAGCATGGCCTGTAAAAACTACATGGGGACTGTAAACCTGTAGGCACTTGGGGTGCCATAGTATGGCTAAGGACTGAGAAGAAAGTGGTGATGTTAACATACCTAAAAATAGGTGTGCATATGGAGAAATTGGAAGAAAGCAAATGCATGGGCCTAGGAAAGATATATGTCCAGGAAAGGCTTGAGAAGAGCTCAAGCCTTCCCTGAAGGCTGATTAATTAAGATCTTTCTCTGCATGTAGCCAATATACAACACTA